GACAGCTTCCGATTTTCCATCTAAGTGGCTATCTTCAAGGTTGGAAATTTTAAGTATTGGTATTTTTGACTAGAATCTGTCGTGAAAAATGTCAACGTTTCTGCTAATCTGCCTGAATGAGAAGACAGCTAAAATCGTTTAACTTACGAGCATTTCAGCAGAAACTCTAGCGGGGACATTTACCCTGCCGTGAGCTGGTAACTTCTTAAAACAAAACCACCCCTTTTGTGAAAGCCGTGGTTACCAAAGAGTGTCAAGTCAGTTCCTCAGGAAAAGTAATCAGCAGATTTTTATTTAGTTTAACAAGGAAATCTCAACCAGTGCTTAGCAAACAGTGGATCATAGAGCCGTATAAACCAGTCAGATTACTTGGTTAAAATAAGCCAAATAAAAGTCCTTAATGGACTAGTCAGGAAAACATTGATACCCATCACATCCTTCTTGTTTTGAAAGCGCTTCTATCTCACAGTCTGCTGATAAATTTGGTCACTCCGAGTTTGAGATGGTGAGTGAGTGAGTCGGTATTTGCGTTTCGCGATCTGCCTCAGTCTCTTGAAACTTCACTTCGGTCTTCTGCTCTCTTTTTTCTCCATCGTAGTCCTTGTTACCTTCGTCTGATCTTCCTAAGTGAATTGAGTCCATTCTTAACCGACGATCTCCGAAGCGCACTGGGTACAATTTCGTTGTTTCGCATGATAACACCTCACCCTTCATCCAAGATTTTCCTGTTGGTTCTAATGGTTGAATCCGGACTATGCCACCTGGCTTGATTGGTCGCAGTAGTTGACTATCTTGTTCGCGTAATATTTTTTTCCCCGCCGTGCTTTTTTCAGTTTTGACATAATCAGTAATAAAGCTGAAATGTCTGGGTCTAGTAATCCAACCCATATGGGCACGATCATTCTCGTTCGTTCATTGCCACCGATAGTGTATTTCCAAGTTCAAGAAGGGCCATGAATGGATGACTGTCCTCGGCTTCGCACTCCCCAAGTATCTTCTTCGCCTGTTTGACTGCGCTCTCTGCTTTGCCTTGGTATTGACCGAAGACGTGAGGTCAAGATTGCCTCTGAGAATTGGTGGAATTCTGTGCTGCGAAACTGGGTTCACCATCGCAAATCACTTGAACAGGGATTCCATGCCGTGCAAAGTCAACTCGCAGTTTGTTGTTAATACGTGAAGCGGTCTCCGTCCTTAGCAGATCGATTACGAGGAAGTCACTGTAGTAATCTATGGTCACCAAATAACAGTCCTTCTCATGCTAAAATATATCCAACACTACAACCTGCAATGGTGGATGCGGTAGTGGTCGAGTTTCTGTCGGTTCTTTTGTTTGTTGCTGATCAGATTGCTTGCACCTCTCACCGTTTGCTACCAAATGTTTAGCCTGTTCCTCCATACCTTGTTGATACATCCACTGATACCTGCATGTGAGTGGAGTAATGAAAACAACGTCCTTTTAAATTGTTCTCAGGACCATCTAACTTTCACCCTGAAAGGTCAGTTTGTCCTCTATCGTTAACTTGTCACGGAACCCGAAGTAAGGTGAGATTTTTGCCGATAGATTTATTTTATCTATCGAACAACTTCATTCAGAGGTTGTGGGTGTAGATTTCAATCGTGGCGTTTTGTGTCTGGAATAATTTGGATTTCGCTACCTCCAAAGGAATATTCTCCCTCTCACTTTGACGCTGTTTCTCGGTATTCGGAAGCGTGACCCGTCAGAATGTGCCAACCACCTACATAATCTTGCCTTGTTAATAGTGCAGCTAGCAATTCTAATTTTACAAACATACTGACATTCACTGGAGCCTTCCTGATGCTTCACGTAGTGGCTCGCTCGCGATGGTGGCCAACGGTTAATGATCCGTATAGACGTGTTGCAAGTTGGCCAAACGAATGGTCGTTGAACTTCTCCTAGACGTACACGATTGCAAATAATTCATTCCTGATCTGTTTACATTTCTGCTCATAAGCTGTCAACTTTCTACTACGGTAATCAGACGGTCGACCATTTTGCTTGAGAACGACTCTTAAACCATACTGACTACTGTCACACTGTGTACACAGCCGTAAAGATGGATCATAATTCGCTAGTACAGGGGGACTTAACCTAAGCCGTTTTATACGATCGAAAGCTGACTGCTAATCTTCTGCCCAAACCCACATTTTTGCCTTAAGTGTTAATCGATGGATGGATTTTGTCTGTTACTCTAACTCTGGTAAAAATCAAATGAGGCAGTTCATCATTCCCTTGAGATGCAAGACACCGATCGTATCGGGTGGTGCAGTCGTATCCTCCATGGTATGCTTTTTTCCGGATCCGGTTTGATACCCTTGCAGATGAGAATACGACCATGGAACTTGACTATTTCACAGAACGTCACTTTGTCTCTTTTTAATTTGATTCCTTCTGGGATACAACCTCCCAGGAAAGAATCAAATCTATTTTGTATTCCCAAATATTCTTGCCAAAAATCAGAGTATTATCTGCCATGTACGGTGTCCCGGGCAAGTCGTCTACTGTTTGCAGAATCCTCTTCTGAAATTTTTCAATGAACACTGTCAAACCAAATGATAGTTACCTCCAACGGTTAAGACCATACGGTGCGTCAAAATTCGTCAAATAACGCGAGGATTCATCCGACTCCAAGTGTCAAAAGCTGAATCCAGATTAATTTTCGTAAAGTACCACGTGTTAGATAGCTGTGGTAGAATATCGTCAGAGACGGGTAACCTAAAGTGCTCTCGCCTGAGGGATTTGTTGGGTGGTTTTGGATTGATACAAAATGAGCCGTTCCCCGGATGCTTTCCTCACTATCACCACTTGACTCACCCAGCCAGTCGGCTCATTACCTTTTGCCAGAATGTCTTTTGCTATGAGGATGTCCATCTCCTGTTCAGATCATTCTTTAACTGCATAAGGAACCCGCTTGGTCGGTAACACCACGGGCTCAGTAGACTGATTGATATTTATTGTCACAATTCCCGGAAGCTTTCCAGTTTCTCATCAAAAATCGAGGTGTGATTTTCCAGGTAATATCCGGAGTTTTCCAAAATACGGTGAACAAAGGAGTCGTAATGGAGCGAAATCAAATTTAAGTTTTCAAAAGACTTACAGGAAAGAAAGGAAACATAACCCTGGTCAACCACCACGAAGTTTATGAAAGAAGGTTGTCCGTACGTGGGACCGGTCACTTGGAGCATCGCCTCTCCTATTGGACGAACACTGGCACCATTTCACACAGCGAGTCTTGTTTCTATTGACCTGTGTGCGATATCTGAAGGAAGATCCACAGGTGTGATGTTTACAGATGCACCAGTGTCTGTCCAGTATTTGATTTCTCTGTTCAGCAGCATTATGGCGAAAACGCTATTTCGTTTCGCCGCAATCTAAACTCCAGTTATTCAATGTCAATTTTGCGAGTTTTGGCTTGTGATCACCGTTGTTCTGGAGAATCATTTTCAAGTAAAATGACTGCTCTCTTGCAAATATTGCATTTCCTCCCCCCACCCCTTCCCCAAGCTGGACAGTGTTCTCTTCCTGTGAAGTCAAGTCTGTAACAAAAGAGACATTCTTTCTTTGATTCCAGGCGTTTCTCAGATATTATCTTCCATAGACCACTCGATTTTGAATGTTTTTCATGCGTTTTTCCATTGCATCCTTATATCGATGAATATCGATGCATCGTTGGAGTGACAACTTTGGTGGTTTTAGCGGTCTTTTCACCAACATGGAGTTGCATAGACCTGTCACGATTTAGTCAAGCACTATGCTCTCATTTATGTAGGTATAAAAATTACAGGACCGTGCAAGCAATAGAAATGAGTCATGTAATTTATTTAACAATTGAGTTCGCTGGTGGAAAAACGAAAAGCTTCTACGTCTCGTTGCACTCTACGAGACAGTTTCAAAATCATTCCAGTCACTCCTGTCTTCATTGGCGTTAAACGAAAATTCACTGATGACACTAAGTGCTACCGCCCAACAGTGTGACAAAACAGAGCGAGCTGGATGGCTTTTGATTTGTATTTCATTGCCGGCTGTTTCCGGAAATCGTCATATTGTGCTCTCTACAGCCTCTAATTAGTAGCATTTACCTCATGTCCTCCAAAACCAAGTGTGCTGACGACTATTCAGTCGTACCTCCAACAAAGCTATTTTCATGTCAGTTCCCACTGCCACCAAGTCAAAAGTCAGTTCTTCAGGAAAAGTAATCAGTGTATTTTTACTGCGTGCTACAAAGAAATGGCAATAGGTGCTTAGCAAAAAGTGGTTTATAAAGCCCAGCGCATCAGTCAGATTGCCGACCAAATGTCTTTTATGAACCAGTCAGAAAAGCTATGCTGATGCAATAAAACAAAATAATTTCCAACGCAAACACGAAATAACTTCCCCGGGGATGAGTGGGTTGGTGTGGGCACAGGCGGAATCGGTTGCAAGGGTGTACCTGAGAAGTACTCAAAAATTGCGAGACGGCTTGCCCCGCGAGCTGTTTTATATAGGCTTACGGGGTTGGAATCTCCTTAAGTAGTTTATTCACAAGCTTGCACATGCCCCAGAGACAGTCCTTGGGAAAGCATGACGAAATGAGTGGCTGGCCAACACCGAGTCGTTCTTGTCAAATCAGCATCCGACTTTTGTGCTTGGTAACGCAAGAAAGGTAATTTTCATAAGAATCCCTCAGATTTACTTATTAACCGAGACCGCGGCAGGATTGCAAATATCCCACCCGTTTGGGTCCAAGGGCCATACCATTCCAACCAAACCAAAAGAAAAACGTTTATGACGCGTGCTTTCCAGACTCTTGGGTGCACTTTCACTTTCATTTTACCATTAAGCACAAATTTGCAACTAGAACGAAAACAGTTGGAAGATTTATTACACATGGTAGACTATAATTTATGTATCAAGATCAGCAAATAACTCAGCTGCTATTCGCTCATTGCTGTTGATCAAAATGCCAGCCAGGCACACAGAACGAAATAATTCTTGTAAACGTTTATATGGGAGGCGATTTTTCGAAATTCTGAGCGTGCTGGAAAACGGAAACGGCAGGAAGACAAGTGAGAGGGCAGTTGGTGTACGTGGTTCCCACGGGTCCCTTGCACGAAATCCATATTGCGATTCGAAGCTACCATTATAGATTTTTTTGATTAACTGTTCAATTTGAATTGGGAAAACATGACTAATTATCATCACACAGCACAGCAGAACCTTCATACATTATTTCTAAGTGTCATCAAGCAAGAGAAGTAAAGTAAAGCTGGGAGAAAACGTTGATGCTCATAGGTAGAGGTCTGTAATCTTCTAAACTTACGAACGTGAAAGGACAAGGGACACTCTTTCAAAACACAACTGACTGTGTGGCAACTAACAGGATTCGTCACTTACGGTGGTTGTAACGAAGCTTGTCTCTTATGGATAATCGAATTCAGCTTTGTTGCCCTCATCCAGTCTACAGAATCTATGCTGTTCACAATAATTTCTTCCTACAACACAGCCAGACCTGTTCGTCTGATCCCTTTGCGCCATCTCATGTGCATGTGACCTGAACATTGTATTTTCAAGTCTCGTATGTTTAACACTCGAGCTTTTTTCGCCTGCCACATCTCCTCTAGATGTACCCGTACAGATATATTTCCTTGTTTAAAGCAATGATTCACACTAGCCAGTACGTTTTACTCACTCGTTCCATACACGTACTAATTCGTCCTTGGTAATTGTAACGAACTTTGGGTAGTCGTTGAGATACGCGCAACACAATCCAAAAGACGTCAAACGTCCCATTGTGGCTTTCACTGCGGTTCTTTATAAACAATCATACATATTACACAGAAACTGTCCAAACCTCAGCGGTAATCGCTCCGTGAATTACGGTTGGCCAAAAGCAAGGAAATTAAGGGTCGCTAGAGGTTCAGGCTTTCAAGTCAACAAAATGTCTGTGGATAATATGGGTCATAGGTCATGGGACAAAAGCATTGCACGCACCACTCAGCGTATGCATAAAGTCGATTTCCATGTGTGGTTGAAAGAGCAAGTCGGTGTGGTGCAGAACTTTAATACGGAACAGAAATTTGGGGTGAGGTTGATGAGGTCGAATCGATCTTCAGCTAGAGCCTTGAATTCAGTTGTTTAGTCGATAACGTCAATCGATGCTTCCCCATCTGACCATCATAAATTGTAGTCAGTAAATGAAAACAATATTAGCTGTCGTTCTTGATCCTGCGGATATCAAACCTACTGTGGCAAAATATTTTGTTACGATTATTGATTTAGGGACCTTTAGAAAGGGAATTACAATGAAGGATTTCCAGGAGTCGGAAATTGTGCAGTAGCCCAAAGACCAATCTACTCACGTTTCTTGGGCAGGTGACTTCAAATGCGTACGATGATCGTCAATCAAGCAACATCTTTGGGTGAAGAGGTGGTGCTTCATTTCGTACGACGAGTTTGCAGTCATCTGCTGCAATAAAACGAGAATGCTCAACTACGTAGAGATATCGATATTTGAAGTCGAAATCCCGACCTTTGTAAGCGACGTGAATGGTTTATCTCCTTACCTCTATATTGATAAAAACCCTTCAACCAACATTCTTTTGTCCTCCTTTATTGTTGGAAGTTGTTTACGCCTTTGTCCACTGATGTTTGTTTATCTTAACTGTATAAACCGTTGTCGTGACAACAGTATGCACTTTGTGAAGACTTGGAGGAAGTAATTTTGGATGTATTTTTCAGACAGGCCTCTTTGGACTCTTTGTTTATTATGTGGCGTTGAGGTTGATAACTGACTGCAACTGATGATTCTGAAATCAAGAACACCAGAAAATCAAGTTTCCCGTAGTGGTCGTTATACTACTCATCAGAAATGAATGCGAAGCAAGTTTCTTACCTGCTCAGCTGTAAGGACGAGGCAAATTTCGGGCGCCCGCAAATGATCAGCCGGATAGATTGTTTGATATGCGGTTCTCTTCCGACCATCTGTAAGATGGCGATGAGGTAAAGTTGACGCATCTTTTGACGTTTCACGCTCCTTGTGACCTTCTTCAGTTTTGGTATTCGATGGTTTGTGCAGCTGACAACCACTACTCATTGAACAGATCGGTTGGTCACAGTGAATCACCAGGTGAACAAAGAACGGAAAATAAATTAGAAATATCGAATTCCTTTTGGCTAGACCACAACAGCTGAAACGAGACGCAAGCATTTCGTTCAAGCTCCACGATTTCGAACGTAAAACACCAATTTAAAAATGGTAGAGTGAAGGAAAGTATTTGTAGATTGAATTTTAAGTTTTGGTGATGGGGAGAAAGTTCTGTAAGGTTAACGTACAAACAATGTTACGCATAAAGCTCTCGCTGATGAGTCGTCACTGTCTCGCTGCAGGTGCAATAATGGGCTGTGTAAATAAATTAGGGGAATGGGAAAAGTTAACCTTGTGGTCTGACACAATAAGATGTCTACTAATTCAGTAAGCTGAATATTTTGCTTTTATTTACGTGTTCACAGTGGATGGCACTACTTGTTACGATCTTTCAATGTGTTTGAAATTCTCTTCAAGGGACCCATCAGGAACATCTGTCCTACTTGTTCGTGTACATAAACTCCCAATGTTTGACAACATCTTATGAGTATTTGTCCTTTCCATGCCTCGCCTCTTCCTGTATATCTGGATTTCGGTTATCCCTCCCTCTATCTCCCTATTATATCACTGACACCTGCCAACCAGCCCTGCCTTTCCCCTTTGCTAGTCTAAGGTATTTCATTAGACAGCTCCCCTACTGTGTGCGCCTGCCGGTTTCACCGCTTTTACTATCTGAACATTCGTCAGAGACACTTCTGTCCCTGCTCATTTTGTGCTTGTTTTTCCGAATTCCTACTGCCATGCCAACTAGGTTCACACCCGTGCATGATCATAGCGACCCGGATGTCTGCCACTTTGCCACCCCTTTTTTGGTTCTGTAGATGTCCGCCACCCGCCAATCTCCCCTAGGGTAGCGACCCATTCACTGTGCAGGAGTCTCCATCACTCCATCGCTAACGGCTTTCGCTTGCGCGCCTAGTCCATCACTCATTTCTGATTGGCTCGTTTCGACGGTAGATGTTCCCGCACTTTCATTGTTACTGAGAATAGTGCGTTCGCATTCCTGATTAAACTTGCCTTGTCAAGACTGCCGTTGGTTTACTGCCGGTTACTGTTGCCAGACGATTCAAAATTGAGGTATGTACAGGTATCTTGTTTGACTTTGCTCCTATAGTACACTCAGCAGTTGGATAATTTGTATTCCGAACTAAAAGGGTTATCGGTTTCCTGTAAGTCATTGAAGAATTGATTGGGATTTCGTAACACCACTGATTTTGAGTATCACTTGAACATTCGATATGAATATTCTTGGAAGTATATAATCACGCAACTACTTACGAGTAGTGTGTGGAGAAGACCTGACTCGGTGAAAGGCATTCGCTTGGAGTTAACGGGGCTGGTACCGTGTCTCCATTCGAAGCTGTCGGGCATCTCTGGCTGTCTTAGAGGTCGAAATCTGAACAAGCTTACTTTGGCGATTCGGATCAGTCTGGACGGGAGCTGGGTGGAGCAGTGGTAACACACGCCTTCGAGGTGAAAGGGCCCGGGTTCAAACCCTGGGTGTAGCAGAGAATATGCACCACTTATGACCTCTAACAGGAGCGAAACTCGAGTCTGGTTCTTCCGAGTGCAGGTTGGTCTGATGACCTGATGTACGTGCGTGAAAAGTGGAGTCCGAAGGACAGTCAGCTAAACAATTCATGGAAGTGCAAGAATTCTCTGGCAGGAGTTCGTTGCTTAATTGGTGAGGTTCACGAGGTCTAATCAGTCAGTCAGTTGTCATTGCTTTGAATCATTAACTCTATATTTGTGATTTCGCTTTGGCTTCCATTGCTACCTCACAGCATCCTTCAGTCCAGAGTAAAAAGTGTGTAGGCCCAAGGAACGAAAGGTAAAAGTGGAAATAATATAGGCGAAGAAAGTCCTCGAATGCAACTACGTCATTAATCGCGGCACCTAGCTATTTTATCTAATGTCTCCAGCCATTCGACGAGCGGGTTACGTGAACCAGAGGGCCCAACAAGTCCTACGCGGCTAACTTAACTGGTTATGAATTTCATATTACTGCTATTATAACGATAATTCAGTAATCTGTGAGATTCCCACATAGTTCCCTTTTCTCAAAACCTGTGACTTTCATCAGCGTTTTGTCTGACCTTTCCAACCACCTAGACCCACACATCTTCCTTTTGTTTTCCCATTTTGAACCCGGTTGACCTGCCTCCGTTCACCCACCGTTTTTCTATGAGTGCACCCATACAGTAGATCGGTTTTCCTTGCGGTCATTCTGGAGACCTGCGACCATCGTGTTTTCGTGCGTCACATGTACCCGACTTTGTGCGTCACGTTTGCCTCCGTCCCTTTTCGGCTTTCTCATCCGCACAGTACGAGTAACCTTTTGAACTTTCTTCCCATGCTAAAGAGCCCGCCACTTCCGCGTGGGGGTCTAGGTCAAGCTTGAGTGCAATCCTCTCGATCATTGTTTGAACTAATTTCGTGGTCATATCTCCGTCCTTCCGTCTCAAGTACGCTCCCCACTCTTTCTCTGAGTGGCCGATTTTTCGTGCTATAAAAGCTGAATTTCACCCTATTCTGTTGACTGGGCCCCTTATCACTCGGCATACGTTCCTCGCCAGACCTTTCGGACGATTTGATATCTATTCACGGACACGTGATTGAATTGCCCCACAAAACTGAGGTATTTTGTTTGTAATTGTAATGATTGTTCCCTAAATTACACGTAGATTACCGACTAGCGTTGTTCGATTTTGGGTTTTGGGTTCGTGCTCTACGAGTCACTCAATCACTGGACAGCGGTTCAGTTACAGCTATGTTACGCAGTGACCACCTTAATGTATTCTCCAAACACTCCGTCTCGGAGATGGATGTATGCTGAGTGGGTCTACCTTTGGACGTGCACAGCACATCGCAATCGTCCTAGTCTATTTGCATTCAGCACTTAATCTAGTGACAGATCTCTGGGTCTCAGCACACTGTGCTTAGCATCAACATGGCTGGTATGGTATTTCTACCATGGTAGAGCAGTCTTGCGAAGAGATCCGTGCTTGAACGTCACTTACCCTCGTTGACTACGTTTCTGCGCCGCAAAGAAGGACTGAAGGTCGCAGTGCACACTCGAAAACGGGGTGGAACTTCATCTGATGCGGGATCACTTTGAATCGGCTCAAACAATGAAAATTATTTATTCCAGCTAAAGCCTCCCTGCTACGACAGGAATCGGTTTACTGAACCAGCCTTATGCAATTCAAAATCGTGAAACATCATATATAAGTTGTGATTTTTTTGTTGTCTTACCATACACCTGATGTTTCTTGTAATTTCATTTCTGTTGGTATCACTATATATTTATGCTACACGAGAGTTCGACAGACAGACCGCACACCATCGCGTCCCTGACTCGTACTCTGAGTCATGTTCCTCGACGTCACAGCACACGTTTTCATTCTACTAACTGTTTATTTATTGTGTTCTACTCCCCCGACCCTGCATCATGTGCACCATGTTACTAATCTCCAATTCCTGTGAGTAAGTTACCGTCACCAAAATCTTGATAGTGAACCGAAGGTGGTCTTATCCAAACTTGCAAGCCTGTATAAACTTGGAGATAGAGCTCTTGAACTTGACTCGCTTTTCCAGCACACGGATGCCAGTATACGGCAAACCGAATGTTCTGTGATATACATCGTTGTACTAACTAAATGTAGTCAATCATATAGGGCATGACATGTAACTTACCAGCCTCCAGTTGCCATTTCCTTAAAAGAGAATGAAATAGGCCTGGTTTATTATGAAAATTTTGGTCTTCAAATATTTGATACAAACTGGAAATAAAAAACAAACAGCGCGTAGCACTGACCAAAACTGGAACGATCTCTCTTACGTGCACACCATCAGATAAGAGGATGCCACAAGGCAGAAAGTCCAACACGTATGATGTCGGTCTTTTTCGTACTCCCATACAGCGGCAGGAAGAATATTTTGGTCGGTAGCAAATAGATCGCGTACACTTTGCCGGTCGTCTAAATTTTTTTTTAGTGACACACCAATAGCCCAACTCTGTACCTTGTCATTGTGATATACTGAGCAACCGATTGTCCTATCATTTTATTTTCCTTCGCAGATGGTCGGCGAAGCGTCCTTCCTTTTTTCAGTTTTTTAAACTTAACTTGATCTTGCAAACTTTCCGGTTGCTTTTCGAGGCGATTCCGCCTGACATTCGATCTAAGACGTTTAGTTCCCTGTAGAGACTCATTTGGACTGATGATGACACCTACTTGGGATTTTAGCACTGAGTGTTCTGTTGATTTTTCGAACACAGTTGTTTCCGAACGTGGAGTCTCACTTACCTCACAACTGTAATTTGTCCGATAATGGTGTTCAGGCCTTATTTCTGAGGTCATTTCTCGGGATTTTCTTCCCGATCGAGCAACTGCATTTGAAGGTGATGGTTCGTTCAATTCTTCAGGTTCTAAGTACACTGACTTGAAATTTGAACTGGACAAGCTTGGAGGTGATGAGGAATGGGCAGTTTCCGTGGATACAAACACCTGTCCCGAGGTTGGCTCATGCATCGACACTCTCTGGCTGGAGATTTCGTCCCCCTGGTGACTTTTCAATGATTGTGAAAAATTACAAGACTGAAGTGAGGAATCATGCAGATCCGTAAGCAAAGAGTCACTTTTGCCATGCTCAGACTCCTCATTTAGAGTTTGATCTCTTATATTGGAGACAGAGGACTCCGAGCCTGACTTTTGAGCCACTATTAAGCCACTAAAACCAACCTGCACACTTGGTGTACTAGCAGTGTTTAAATCAGAGATAATAGAGGGATAAGATCCATCGAAAGAAGAGGGACTGCGGTCTTTGGAAGCAATATTAGGTTCCTTTATCGGAGAAATAACACTTGGTTGTTCCTCTACGTTATCCTGTTTCTCAAGTAGAACAGATTTTCTATTTTCATCGATCAAACTTTTTACAAATCTGGATGGTTCCGATGGATCCGGGAGTGAACTGTCGGGAATCTTTGGTGTATTGGTACTTATTGATTGGTACGATTGGCCATGAATACCCGGCCCCGGGTAACTCTCTCTAGAGTCTGTCAGCAGTTCAGACTGATTTGATGACAGTTGAAATGTTGATTCCGTTGGTGACGCTTCTGAGGGTTGTTGTGGTTTTGATGATTGCCGCCGTAGTGGCGATATCAGCGAACCTCGTAGAACCTTTTGCTGTAGAGTTTCATTTGGCGGAGAGTTTGTTTCTTTCGACTCTGTCAATGCTTCCGTATTATTCGGCCCGGGTGATGGCGTTGATATTCTTCCCGAAGATATTTCACCCTGACACGGTGAGTGAATAGAAGAGCAAAATTTTGATGAACTGGTACTGATCTTTGGGTCTGACAACCTTTTGAAAGGCATGTAGTCCTCAGAATTTGAGCTGCGATATTCACTCAAGGTGGTCAAAATGCTATCATTCGAAACAGAATTCTTTAACGATTTCGATTGGCAATCCACTGGATGCCCCGATGCAGCTTGAAGCTTTTGAAGATTTATATCACTGGGCCTATAAACTTTCTTTTCAGTTAGAGTTTCACGAAAACAAAAGTTCTGACACCATGATTTATCCAACAAGTCAGAATCTAAAGTGCATAGAGTTCGTAAGTCTCTTGAGTCTTGCTCTCTCGAATCCAATACCGACACTAAATTGTACCCAAAAGTAGTACTTGATAATAAAGCCTTGCTCGCTTCTTCCTGGTTATCACCAGATTCTTCATGAGTGATCACGAGTTCGGACAATAGAACTGCTGGTAGGGATGGTCTACCAGGCTGAACGAATTCAGTCAGTGTGAAGAAGGTAAGAGCCGTTCGGTTATCTACACGATCCTTCATTTCAAATGTCTCACCGATGGTTTGGTATTGGCAGTCTTCACATCGGCACCAGGTCGACTCCGGACTTTTCACGTGTGCGGTCGATAGAACAGAAGCTGCCACGTTAGTATCCATTGGTGTATTGGGTTCGTAATCAGGGGAATGCAAATTGGGATACGTATTCCACGGGCAACGGAAATGCAGTGGAGGATGAAATAAATGCCATAGTTTGTGTAGCAAGGAACTTAGTGTGACCACTTCATCTTGCCGATCTGCCCACTTGCACAGATCCCTGCAATTACAGGCCGCATCCGGAGCTGCATAATATGTAGATTTCCTCCAGTTTACCGACTCATGTGGTCCAGAACTATGCCTGACTTCAGTCACGTTAAGTGGTCTAGATACTAGCGAGTCCATTTCGGATGGCAGCTTCTGTGAATCAAAACAACTTTGCTTTTGATAAACCCATAAAGGAAGAGCTTCAGTTTTCAAAGGATAGGAAATCGTTGACGGGGGCACACAGTGACATTTTTGTGAAGAGCGGACTCCTTTCATCTGTTTGTCTGAGTCGTTCATCTTAGGCAGATTGTTTGAGATCTCAAACCAGGGTACCTGGTAAATGGGCATGTGAGAATCACGAATTATTTGGGGAAGCAAATCATGATAATAAACGTATTCACCTACTCAGTGCCACATGACTATATATATAGGACGTTTCTGTTCGAACTATATCTCTATCACATTTCGGATATTCGGAGAGTGAATGGGATAATAGTTCTATGTCCCATAATTGCTTGCAAACCAGCCTACAGAAGCGCTACCCGAAATTACTCAGACTTTGGCTCATCGCAAAAATTTGCAACACTCCAACTGAATATCAAACATAGAAGTACAGGGTAATATTACGTTTATTTCGACATAAAGACGGAACAAGTCCTTCAGTTTGATTGCCTCGAGGATCATGTGCGACTACCACCGAGTTGTCCATCTTCATTTCGTGATCTGATTGCGTACAAGAGGTCTGTGTCTGTGATCGTGGATCAGTTCGGTGAAACTGTCCACCCCTACCCGCTTATCTGCTCCATGTAACCGTTTCCTTATCAAAACAGAAACATTTCAGTTGTTACTTTCGAAACTATATCCAGAAGTTCATTCTCAAATAAACACCGTGCAGTGTGAGTAAAATTGTATGCCGAATAACCTCACTCGCAGGACCATCGACACCGCTATTTACTCATTTAGCTGTCCCAAATGCGGTCTTTGTGAGTCAAGTGGACAAGAAATATTATTAATTCTGCATCACTGGATTTCGAAGTATGCATGTATTTATATAATGTGACGAATGAAGAAGGAGATGAAGAACAAGATGAACTAGGATTTGGAGGGGACGAAATGGTCTTCTTACAATCATGGTCAGTGTACTGATTTATTGAAACTGGACACGAAAAGTCAGTTCACCATGTAAAGAAAAGCCATCAAACTGGTTTAGTTCAGATCCCATGCTATCTACCACAGTTTTCCTCAGTAGTTACCAAACAGTCGATTTGTTTCCATGCACTTTGAACCCTAGTTTCCACGACGACCACCACTCTCCCCGCACTCGTGATAAGTGTTTCTTCGATCCCATCGCCTCACACCGCCATTAGCCTTGTTTCTATTACAAGTGTAGATTGATCTTAACTAGCATCGGCCTATTTGTTCATATCGAACTCTGAGTCCCAACCGATTTGATCTCATAGTAACCTTTCTCCCTCTTTTGTATGTGTCCACTGGCCCACAGGTATCTACGACCCGTTCTCTTATGACGTGATGATTGTCCAGGTTAGTTAAATCCTTCTCTCTGTCTTGACTGTGTGAGTGTCTGAACTTTGGTCATCCCGTCATGATCATGCCAGTTTTTCTCACGGCCATAGTTATCCCGTTTATTCTTCACCACGCGCGCATATATATATATATATATATAAAGGTAGATAGATAGATAGATAGATAGATAGATAGATAGATAGATAGATAGATAGATAGATAGACAGATCTGTAATAAATATAATGTCTCTACTTCGCTATTTTCACCCATCGCGATGGTCTCTGCAATATGACTCCCGCCACTTGGGGGATGGGGGGGTGGGACACTGTACCATGCTTCATAACGGACAAGTCGACTGATCGTGAAGCTGGTCCATTAAGATGGCTAAGCTCATTGGGACTACCGAAGCACCTTTTAAATTTTAGAAGCACAGTGATTTATGGAGCGGCAAAGATATCGTAGCGAAAATTATTCACTCCAGCTAGAGCTTCCCTCTTATGTCAAGGTTCCTTTTCCGAAAGTACTTAATTTAGCCACTACCCACCATTCTTTAGCCTTGTCGCACAGCCTTTAGCCATGCCACTGCAAGTCAGTCACATCAAAAGCATCGGAATATAATGATATAAAGAGATATTGGAACAATTTATTTCCTTACAAAGGTTGATATTGCGAAGCTGACGGAACAAATGAGGGAGTGTGACAATCATATGCTGCGCAGTTGACCGTGGTAATGGCATCAAAGGCTGCTCCGCAAATTTATTGGAGAAGGTTTAAACGATGTGCCCGTATCGTCGAACCATGTGGCACAGCCCCTATTACTGTTGCAATTTAAGTGATAGTAATGGTGTCAAATGTTGCAGCATAAATAAGTTGTTGGCTTTGACGAGAGTATACTTACGATAACTGTGTGGATTGTTCTCGGACTTTCACTGTTTGTGTAGATTCCTAATGAGAAGCTCAGATGTAGTTTTGTTTGATCAAACACGGTGTTACTAGGGACGGCTAAAGAACATAATAGAGTGCTAGGAGTTTTATCGAAACCACTTTATTTTCGGTAATTCCGGTTGAACCGAGACATTTGGGGTAACCAACTTTGGCATACTTATGTATCAACACAATATTATGATGAATATGCAATTGGATTTTAACATGATGCAGATAGATACCTGCTGTCTTTATTGGTAGTGACTCTCTGGTCACAACACTTCTCGTTATGCTCCCTCTGATGTTTCAGACTGTCTCATGTTCTTTGTTATTCATTTCGTCAAGGATGGCAGATGTCATCCAGTGCAAAGTGCTAAAGGCTCTTCAGCCGCATAGATGCTTTTCTCTAAAAGACCCCAGATATTTTCAATCAGACTTATATGTGAAGTGTGTGCTGTTCAGTCTATGTACTCGATATTTCGACACAGTAGCCACAATATAATTGCTGGCTGTATGTCTGATCACGATGTCATTTTGAAGAGTCAAGAGCAGTAGTTGATTTTCCGGAATTATCGAGAGAGCAAGTTTATGCAACCTTACCATGTAGGAGTCAGCCTTATATTTGCCATCTAGCATTTTTAGCTGAAAATTCTGTCTTACAATTCACAACCCAGAACGACAGATAGCCAACACCGAAAGCTCGACGAATGAAGTCCAGCTTGTTCTTCCCTAATTTGTGCCTGTGGTTTGTGATTCCACCAAGTCTGTTCAAATCGAACTTTTCCCGTCGTTCATTATGATGTCATTACATTCAGCATTCCAAGTGATATGATCTCTGGTCCATTCTTCACGAACTCGAAAACAGCGACCAATTATCCAGGGCTCTGATCTAATCATTCTGTTCTGTATACGTGATGCGGACTGCATGAGCTGTTATGCAACCCGAACCTCTGCAGCTTCCATGCAAAGTGAAATAATTCAAAAGAGCACGCGACAGTCTTCTTAGCACCGATGTGGTTGATCATCAAAGGGGCAATCTTACCGTTGACAGAAAAAAGTAAATAGCTAATACCGTTGTCATCAGCAGTCAAAATGGAAATTCTAAGCTCCAAGGGTAAACCTATGATTATCGAACACTGCGTAATTGAATGCGTTACCTGAGGTACACACATTACCGAATACTGCCGAGTACTGCCTTGACATCCCCATCCTCTTAATTTCGCCCAGTCTTCCGAGCGTAATGCATCTTGATAACTGAAGTTAGTGATTTGGGGCACTGATAGTTCTTCCCCAAGTACAATTAATTCGCAACACAATCATCAGCTTCATTGATCAGTTGGTGGGAATACTCTACTTTTTCCATGGGTTCAATATAGAATATTGTTTCATTGAACGATGAATAACAATCCCGGTTGCAGTTGGACTGTTTTTCATAAATACTTCGCTTATATGCTCTCGAAAATACACGCTAGCAGTTTTCGCTGCCGATCGCTTCCACTTTCCCACGGGTCTTGCGAAACGCCATCATGGTTATCGTGTTTGCGTAGTGCTGTGCATCGCAGTAACGCGGTCAGTTGACCCAAAGTAATATAAATGGATTACAGAGTTGTTTTTCAAGGGAAAAACACGGCAGAACAGCAGGCCTTATGATTTCGTTCACATCTGGTTTTAGTGAGCTAATATGCCAAATGAAACAAAATTATGACCGTTGTAGAATGCGGCTTCATTCTCTGTCTTCTTACACTTTACAGCCCAACACTACTAGCAATAGATGCCCAAACTTGTGCATCGACTCACCAAACGACTTCTAGAAAGTGGTAAGTCAAACCCAAAGCGTCAATAGGCAGCCAATTAATTTTAAGCTTCCATCAGTTTCTCCAAATCGAACTGCTCTGATTCATCTGTATGGGACATGTCGGGAAGCTATCTATCCAAAATCGAATCATTCGCTTTTCTTGCCCGCGTGGAATTCATTTAGATTTCAAACATATTTATTTGGAACAAGGCTTTGATAATTGCACTACTACTCCTGAGTGGGAGATATCACGTGCTTCCCTTCTTCCTGGATTGAGTATAAACGATCCCACCACAAATTTTTTGAGGCCATACCAGATACGGCTCCAAAACGTTAAAGGCAGTGAGCTTTTATTTATTTTATATCCAGTGAGAATGATACAGGTAGCAAGCAAAGAGAATCAAAAAACGCATTCCACACCGTGACCAGGGTGGCAACCTTTTTCCTCTTTTCTTTCTATAAGCTCACACACTATCCGCCTGAACAATGCATCTTTTTCATTCAAATCAGTGGGGATAAATGTATCGTTTACTGGTTTGCCATATTTCATTCCGCTCTGAGTATAACAAAAACGATAATGATAAAATGATATTAAATAAAAATTATCATAAAAGCAAGCTACACAGAACTCCAATTCCGTTAATAATAAAAATAGGATTTACAAAAATAGTATTCTGTTTACCTTGTTTTTTTGTCTCAAGTTAGCCAAAAAGACTTTCTGGAGAGAGACCGAAAGCGTCACTTTCATGCGCAGGGGAGGACCCTGGAGATGGATAATATGTGAGAATAGACAAAATTTCTGTTGTTCATTGGTTTAAGTTATAACGTTTTTGAATGTTCTAGATGGGTACTGGATTTTTGTGTTGAATAGTAGTGCAGTTTCTGTAAATAACGGGGTTTGCTTCGTTTGGAAGTGCAGTTCGGGAAACTGAGACTGCAGTCTAATGAGCGCTGCAGTTCAGTTTCATATTATTTCCATTAAAAGTTTTACCTTGATTGAGAATCCTCTCTGGCCACAGATAAAATCATTTTAAAAGTCTGGATGCTTAAGGATTTTTTTAAATTAGTTTTGATTACTTCGGATGAGATACTTACAACTTGAGCCATTTCCTGGCTGGGCATTTATTACTGTAATGCCGACTACGCAAAAGAAATAGGGAAGTGTTCTTCATCGTTTCCTAGGTATATGAATTTTGCATGTATAATATTTATTATTTTTCCGCTGCGGATTTTCTTTTTCAACTCGATTCACTGTGACTGCCCTTCTGTCTTCCATTTATTCAAAATTACCAACCAATCTATCTATTAGATCCAAGCTGCCCATGCCAATGATAAACCCTCCAAATACTTCTCAATGCTCGTCACATCCTGTTCAGCTGTGTGCTGTTCATCCAACTGTGAAGTGACCAGAGTGACTAGTCAAGTGATTAGAATCAGGACAGTTGACGGGTACCTTTGAAATAGTGTTTGTACATCACTGGATATCCTTTGGCGTTATTTGCGTGCAGTTGGCCTTTGCGCAACAGCTTAGCGGGTAGAAAAACTACCTGGAAAGCCATAGGTTTCTGGTTCATTTCCGGGTGACGGAGTGAAAATCTGGATGAGAAAATGCGAGTGGATTTTCCATTATCTACAAAATTAACTAAAGGGCAAATTTCCGCACCGAATTAGGCACAAACTTATGCCCCTCCCCCAAGATAACCGTATAGTGCTCTGGAACAACGTCTAATTATAAAGATAAAAGTGGCATGATTCTTCGTCGTATATCTCACAAACCAATAAGGGCAAGCTAATACATTCATTTTCTAGTTTTATGCCTCTGTAACATCAGCGAAATCGAATTTAGTCCTTCTTGACATTTTTTGGAGAGAAAATGGAACATGCGAAATGCAGTACTTCAAATAAATATATCCCAATAACTCTATCAAGCATCAGTAATGAGGAGAGAGGAAAGAACTATTCATGTAATTTTCCTTCTAAGGAGACGGTGAAAATGAACTGCTAGTTCAACACCGGAGGCACGCCTTTACCCATAAACTACCAACCACCACACTACGTCCGTCTTCAGTTTCAGTTTCTGTTTATTCAACCATTAACCTTGCACGTTTGTGCTCTGGTTTCGGTTGATAACTTTCAATATCGTCGAGTAAAGGGCGAAAAGAATAGGGGCATAGTGATAAAGATTCAAAAGAAGTCAAAGTACCAAGCGGATAACAAGGGGAGGAAGAAAGAGTCCGAATGCAGCTTCGCCACTGACCGCGACACCTAGCCATATCACTTAATGTCTCCAGCTATTTAGTAGGCGGATCGTGTGGACTCCAACCTGGAAGTCTAACACGTCCTACTTGGCCAAGTCCACCACTACCATTCTCGGGCAATGCTACGGAGACTTTGGTGCTCGAACACCGATAGTCTTCGCCGATCATCTACCCTCAATGGCCATGTTTGTGAACCGCATAAAAGAACGGACCTAACCACCGCAGTGTACACTCTACCCTTAGCAGACAATCGAATGTCACGCCGACGCCACGGAAGACGGAGGTTGGCAAAAGCCAAACGGGCCCTCTGTATACGCGATGACACTTCATCCGATATCTGTCCACCTGATGAGATGTAACTACCTAGGTAACAAAATTTATCCACTTCAGCTAGAGTTTCCCCTGCCAACGCAAGGTTTGGTGTAGAGCGCATCCCAAACATTACTACACTGTTGCTTAAGCTATCTAAGGTACCTTGAAACTTACCTGGATCTTCACTCAGAAAAAGAATATCGTTTGCACATTCCATGTCAGACAGTTTGCTGCCTGAGCAAAGATCGATACCGTTATTCCCACACGAGAATAAAGCTTTTACAAGAATCAGTCCAGTTACGAAATTAAAGAGGAAGGGTGAAAGAGGGCAACCCTGTTGAACACCACTTTCCGTGGTGAACTCGGGTGAAAGAACGCCCTAAGCATGAACTCGGCTTCGGCTGTTTGCATACAAGCATTGGAAAAGAGAAATAAACTTCTCTGGCACACCTTCCAATGAGAGGCAGCACCAGAGAACTGTGCGATCGACTGAATTGAACGCCGCTTCCAGATCAAGAAAGACAGAGATTGTGGGCCTACGGAAGATGTGTCTGTGCTCAAAGGTTTGCCGAAGAGTGAAGATGTGGTCAATACAACCACAACCGGGTCTGAAACTGGCTTGATTCTCACGCGTATAAATTTCGCGGGCACTGGATAATCGGTGGAGAATAAGACCGATGAGCAGTTTCGACACGATACTTACCAAGCTAATTACTCAGTGGTTTTCACAAGAGGACCTATCACCTTTCTTGTAAATCGGCGCAATCACCGATTCACACCGTTCCTTAGGAATCTACTCGTTATCCTTAATAATACGGAGGAGTTTTGTTAACTCCAAAACCAAAGCTTCACCTCCATCCTTGAAAAAAAGTGGAGAAAACCTATCCGGTCCAGCGGCTTTGTACCCTTTCAAGTAACCTATCTCTCGCATATTCACCATCTCTGATGGAGGGGTGACATCCACGTGCATTGTTTCTTTGGCAGGTATGTTTGGAAGGTCCACTGTATAAGTGGGCCAACTGAACTATCCCCTAAAGTGCTCCGCCCAGCGCTCCAGACGATGTCCTTGAGAATGAATCGGTGAGCAGTCGGATTCATTAACTAACTCACTTACACCAGGTTTCCGTGGACCGGTACCTCCAATCAAACGCAAAAGGTTGCGAGCATTGCCCAGGGATGTAGCCTTTTCCAGTTCCCTACACTTAGCAATCCACCACTGTTCACGGTCATTTCTCAGGCTCCTAGTTAGTTGGCATCTCAGGGATTTACGCAATTCATTGAATGTGGCATCCGAAGGAATAGATCTGCAAGCATCCAGCAGAGCAACTGATGTCGAAGATATCCATTGTTTGTGGGAACAACTTGAACCAGAGTCCTGGGTGGCATTCGAAGTGGCAAAGAAGGCTTCCTTGATCTGTTGCCAGCGTTTATTTGGGTCCTGAACATCCGGCTGCATCGATAACTGCGTAGACAACTCGGTCTGGAAATTGTTTCGCTGATTATTGTCCAAGAGCAACTGCGCGGGACCGATGGCATTTACGTTGGTGCGACCACGGACGAGACGTAAGCGGAATCGAGCACGTACCAAGGTGTGATCTGAGTCCACAGTCGTACACCAAAATGAACGACAGTCTTCAGTTGATCCACTCCGGTGGTGACCACTCTGGGTCCAACGTCCGCCTTACTAGCCGATCAATGATTCTTACTAATCTTAAAGACAAATTTCCTGTCTATTAATTATTCACGTTCACCCACTCATTTGTGCGCTCAAGTTTGGCAAGCTCTGTAGACAAAAAGACACAACTGCTGTCACATATAAGTAGGGAACAACTCCGAGCCTGATCAAGAATGCGTGGAGTTACGGCATGTTGAGTTTGAGCGGGATAGTCCGCCATGACAAACTCAATCAAGCTGCCTTTCATTTGTGTTGCGGCTGATTAAATCGACCTTTTTAATTCGGACCTGGACAAGATAACATCAGAAGGTAAGAATAGTGAACAGTGAATGCCCACGCAATGTATTGCTATTGCATGTTCTCACTCTATTATTTTTATAGTATTGTTACTTTCTAATATATTTCATTCTCGGATCTTCTTTCTCTTCCGCTCTCGTATTACAGTTTGGCGACCCTGCCAATAAGACCGAGTAAACTGGAAGGGGCCGTAGCCAATATTAATTTCGCGGAATGGTCTGTCTGATGAATAGTCTCGATGAACCGAGTACTCCTGATTTGTGTGTGATGATAGAGTACATAACACTGCGGACAGTGTTTTTTCATTAGAAGGAGGAGTGTAGTGAGCAGGCTGTTGGCAGCTATATTAGTGTTCGATACACTTACTGAGCCTTTGTGCTCATGGAGTTATCTGTGTTTTGTATTTTGTAGATCGAACACAAGCAACCGCGATGGAAGACACTGATACTTGCATACTACAAATGGGAACTAGAATAATCGTATAGTATGCAATCTTGGCGCATCTGGCAGACAGGGTACGAAAAATGAGCAGCAAAGCTTTCTATACGATCTACAAAGTACTTGTGAATTTATCAGGAGCATTCTTTAACACCGTATAAGAGCAACGTAGGTGGTTTCGATTAAGTTAATAAACGCTTTGATTTGTTTCCGTAAATGATCTGCTGAATCAATAAAACCACTGTGACTGACGTCCACAATTACATGGAAACTCCAGTTAGTCTCCAACCGTGGCTTTTCCGTCACAACAAGGAACAGTTGATCTCTCAAATATGCACTTTGTTCTCTGGTCCCTTCTCAGCCAATAAAAATCAGTCAGTAGACAGTGGACAGCTATCTCATCTAAATCATTGGAAATGTTCCATCTTAATGTCAGATAACATTGTCTATCTATTGTTCAATACGCACATTTATCCGATAAGTAAAATCTGGTCACTGAAGAAATAGCTTTAGGGGGAAACGATTTGGAATCACATGCGAAGCATACTTCACCGTCTTCACAAAGACCCACAAACTATATTTATTATGCAGCAGATGAAGTAGGTCTCCACTTATTTGTGGGAGAAAGAAAGTAATATTCCGGGTCATGCTGTGTGTGATCTTGGGTACTTTGTGTGTACAACACTATATTTTACTTCAATCGACAGTCCTCAAGAAGAGATGGAGAGAATCTTTCTTTAAAAGCATCATCACAAACTAAATGTGTGCGTAGTATCAAGCTTG